AAAGATATGTGCTCGTTAAACACAGTGGGTAACAAGTGCTTTAGGGAAGTAGTGATAGGTTATTCCCTTGCACAGTTACATTCCCAAAGTGGCAATACCTGCACTGTATGCAAAATATGGCAGCAAGCACCTAGATATGCAGTTTACATCCATCATCCAGCTACAATGAATAGGGTGCTTCTAAGAGGTGAATTAGCACCTAATTGCCTGCAAAGGCTTTTAATTAAGAGGAATATAGCACAACTTAAAAGTGAGAACTGTTCTGTGGTGACTGTGAGTGCCAAATATCCTCAACACATATGTTAATTTTCAAGTAGGGTCATGTTTTAAATCTTGCTACACAAGCTGACATAACCTCCTTTTAGTTTCAAAGAGTCATGAAGGGGAATTCCCAAAGTCTGGGTCGACCCATCCACTCAGTGTCCTCTTCAGTCAAGCTGCTCACTATAATTGCTGGAAACTCACTAAGGTACTTTGAACCAAATAATGAAACTGAGCTCGCCCTGCAATAACTTATGAGCGAAATGGGTGTTTTAGATTTTCATTACCAAATTGTATGAATTAGTGTAACTTATAGTTGAAGTGCATCAGTAGAATTCATCTGGACCCCCGAGGTCCATTCACAAATAAGTCATTTATTAACATTTATGTGACTTTCAGGCAATATTCTGAAACCTGGAATTAATCATGCATTATTTAAGGTCTTATTATTATTCTAGGGAGCATAGAAAGAAAGCGACTGGACTTCTCTAAGTTTCTGGAAGACATTGCACCTCTCATCCGAGAAGCTTCTTTGGTTCTAAGACCAAATGATGGAGAGTCCCGTGCATATAAATCCTAGTGGGGGTTATCCCTTAAGAAGGTCACTGACTCACTATTAATCCCGTGCATCATCACATGGCCCAAAGTGTGAAAAAAGGCATGTGTCATTATCACCAGAGGTTTCAGGTAAAACCATTGAGACCTTGCCTCACCCTATCACGTGACCCATTGAGGTCACCTGACGCAAGACCACCCCCTCTGTTCAAGATGGTCATTCACAGTAAGCATACATGGACCTCACAACCCTCTTAAGGGACAACCCCCACCATGGGAGACACCATTCGGTTTTCGAACTGAAGAAGCTTCTCGGATGAGAGATGGTGAAACGTCTTCACAAAACTTAAAGAAGTTCTTTCCAAGCTCCTTAGACTTCCATGACCTGAATGACTGAGAACCTGTACAGTCTTATTATTATGACAATCGTACCACTTTTTTCCAGTTTATTCATAATAACAGGCATTATAGAAATAAAATGTCACAAAACTTATGATTACTGCTTCTCAAAGTAGAGGTGAGGGAGGCAAAAGTCTGGAGGCATTTTTGAACTTAAAGTTTTATAAGTGTGATTGCCTGATATTCATAAAACTAACAGTAAATTTCTCCGTTGTAAGCATGCGTGGTGGTATTTATCCTCTGGGCTGGGTGTGAAGAGATGGAAGAATCGAAGCGTGGAAGATGACAGATGTTGGTGGGTGGCACACTCAGGTCTCGTGGCAACTGACAGTACACATTCAGGCTTCAAAATGCAGGGAGAATTTCTGCCCTGAGAGTTGACAGCATGAATATGAATGAAAATATGCAGCTTATGAGGTTCTTCGACAAAGTGGAATGTTTAAAAAAAAAAAACAGGACGCATTAATGACTGCCAATATTTGAATTCAGACAATTTGTGGCCATCTGGGCCCAGATGTGAGCACTTCACGTGATGATTTCATTGAACACACCAGCCATCTTATCATTATGTTTACATCTTACCGTGGTTTGTCCCTGGGCTCACATAAACACCAGCTGTTGTGCAACTTTTCTGCCCTTTGATTTTGAGCTGTGTTTATTTTAGGATTTAATTAAATTACATTGTATTAGACTTCCACAGTGCATGTAAGATGAATCTAAAAAGCTATTAAACAAACACAAATTGCAATCTGACTGTTAGAATGTGATGGATTGTGTTGTGTTTGGAGATTTGAGGGTGCCGTGCAGACTTAATAACTGATGATAGAGTGTGCAATGTTTTTAGCTTCGGGGTGAGCATGGATGATTAATTTTATGGCAACCTTTCAATTAGATTATGTCTGATAGTGCCACTGAGGGAAGATCAGGAGGTAGAGTCGGATTAAAATCTAGATGGAAAGTCAAAGGGTCACTAGATTCATTATGTTTCATACTTCCTTAGAAGTTTGTGAGATATTTGATTCACGGCATACTGTATAGGATATACCGAGACAGCATTGGATGCTTGCCTGCACCAAGGAAGCTAGTTGTGTATATGGGAAAATGCAGCACCAGCAGAAGCCCTCCAGCTTAACGATCCATCTGAGTGGGAGACAATACACTAACATAAATAAACAAGATTTTTCAGTATCATAAACCGAGATAAAAATACACAATGAAAAGCGCCTTAAGTGTTCGCAGCACCTCCACAAGAAGAAATGTGCTGCGGGTTTCTAAAACAAGGAGACAATTTCAGAGCTCTTCTAAAACGGGATCATCTCAGTTGCTATAGCAATGGTGGCAGACGACCACACACTGAGAATTTATGTCTGGCACAAACAAAATTTAGTAGCACACTGCAATCAAAGCACAAACCATACTCACAAATGGAAATATCCAAAAACATCTGACAAATTTAAGATAAAAGTGGTGGTTACGCTTTATATTATTGGGCGGAAACTCCACTTTGTCCTCTAGCACACAAACACATTTCCTTTTTTTTTTTTTCTCACACACTTGACACATCTCTTCCTGCTTGTAGCTCTCTGTCTTCTCTGCACTCTGACATTCTTTTCCTCCGCTGTCCTTTATCAAACTGCTGTGATCAGACACTATTTCCACATCATGTTTGAGTGTAGATCTGAAGGAGTGGGTATCATCCCTTCGCGCTCAACCCCTGCTGAGATCACTATCACAATCAGAGTTTTCCGACTTTCAAATCTACAGCTGCTTCTCCGGTGCGATGCCCGTGGCTGTTTTGCAAAATGCATCACGGGACGAAAGGAATAGGTAGCGGTGCAGCTGACAGTTTCAAAGTGAATCGTCTGTAAGGTGCAGAGGCAGGATGCTGAGGAGATACGGGAGGTTCAGCTCTGTACAGTGTGTTCCTCGTGGTGTTAAAATGAGAAGAAAACAATACTACTCTGCAGCCTTCAATATGGAAAACTAAAAAAACAGAATACCTCCCCTCATTGTTTACTATGCATTTAATATGCAGAGTGCTTCTCCTGTACTTGTTTGCAAACAGCTGAATTGAAGGAAATGGTGGCTTATGTAAAAATTTTACAGCTGAAGCAGAGAGTAATTATTCTTTGTACCTAAAGCCTCTGTCTGCACAATTGTTTATCTTTTTTGAAACCAAGCACTATAAGTCACTGTCCCATCTCAGCTGTCACGGGGCAAGAGGTAGTGCCGTGCAATACTCCAGATTTTGGTATGATCGAATACCAAGTAAATGTAGGTATACCAATGCTTTAACCTATGAGGTTTACAGTAGGGTACAGCAGTAGAGGTGATGGGATCAATCCAAATATTGATAGTACACTTTTTCTACTCTCTAAGTTCAGTATGTAGGCCACTGAATTTTGTTAAATACATTTTTTGGGGGGGAAATAGAATAATATCGATAGAATCGATATTTGGATCAATCTGCTCACTTTGAGCGATAGATGGTACAACCTGGACAGGTCAGCAATCTAGTTGCATCCACCCACATGCAACTTTTAGGATTAACTTGTGCCGTGTTTTCTTTTTTTATGTTAAGCCATTCAGCTGCACCTGGTATACATGCTGCAAGTGCACCTGTCCAGTGCTTTGATTCAATGAAACTGCAAGGTTCTGCCAGCCTCTTTTTTTCTGAGAACCATTTCACGCTGTGATAACATAAAGCTGCCGACACTTTGAAATCTTGCCACGTCTGCTTGAGCGGTGCATAGAGGAGGTGAAACCTGGTAGTTAGTGGTTGAGATCCTGTATTCTGACACGAATCTGTGAATGGTCTCCTTGTCAGTCAGCCGCACAGGCCCCTCACGCTGAGGAAGCATAACCAAAGAGGATTTAACACTTGATCTCACAGAGACAGCTGCATCCAGGGAAGATCACTTTCCTTTGTGAACTATCTACTGAAGGCTTAACATCCAGCCATCTCCAGCCCTGGGATTCAATTTAGTTTAGCTGGCAGTCTTTAAAAAGGCTACAGTTAAGGAATAATCTGGAAAGAAAAAAATGTTTTTGGTATTTAGCCTCTCAGATTGTTGTGGAGACAGCTAATAATGAAAAAGTGCATGTCCTCAGAAAGCCCGGCAGGTCGCTGTGAGGGATAATGTCCTGTCTTGTACATTACATTCTTCAACTTTGAGTCAGTTTGATTGTTGCAGGTAACACAATTACCACACCACCACTAGGGCGGCTGTAGCCTTTTACAGGTGGATAATAGGCCATCACAAAGGACAACCTTCCCCCTACTACACAGGCCCAGTGTGCCAAGGCTGACCTTTCCTTTTTCTTGCAGTGTCTGAAGTGATTAGCTTTGCTCTGTGGCAGATATGCCACCCCACTGTCTAAAGTCAGCCTGATAACAACTTGAGCCAACTCCTCCACTCTGACAACAGTTGAGATGCAGCATGGACGGCTGGTGGGCTGATAACGGTTCCCATCTTCATATTCTAACCGTCCTTGAACTCACTTGCTCTTTGAGGGCCGTAGATAGCTCCTATCTACAGATGTGTTAATTGAGCTTTTTCAGAATGAAGTCAGCATATTCAAGTAGTCTGGGGGGCTCGCTGGCAAACCAGACGAAAGCCAGAGCCTTGGGAAATCACATGATTGTAGCTGACCTTCATCTAATGGTCTTGGGACAACACAAAACTGCGGTGAATAAGCTTTGCCTGCAGTGACAGAAAAAAAACCCCCACAGTATTTTAAATTACCCTCAGAAATATCCAGCAGCCATTGCATGTGGTGCATAAATTTATTTCAACATATATTAACATTTTGTATATTCCTTTTTAAATTTTGTTAAAGACACAGTACATACAGTATTTACATGAGCTTCTACGATTTTTCAACAAAAAAACAAAAAACAGGCTAAGACGAAGGCTACTCTCTCTAGAGCTAAAATAAAACTCGATAGATTTTGACACCTCATCATTAAACTTGACAATTCCTGTCATAACAGTCCATGAGAAACAACAGTACACATTAGAACAATAGATAGCAGTTTGATGATGCTAATGGCTCTGATTTAAAACAAAGCAGCAGCTGCTCACATCTGAAATTCGCCCCTGTTTACGCACCGTAATGCCATGTTGAACTTTGCAATACACCTTACTCGGTGTTATGCTGTATTAAGTTAGACTACTACTTTACATTTCCTAATGCACACTGAAGGTCAGTCTAATCCCTGTCTTTTTCTTTTATGTAGATCCTACATAGAGTAAACAACAAGTTCTAAGGCAGAGCTAATTCACATTTCACTACCATCTACTCTAGGATTACCCTTTGATTAATTCTTTGAGGCAGCCAACATCTCAGTATACAGTACATCCTTCTGAGAGGCCTTGATATGGTCAACTCTACAGAACCACAAGTAAAGATGGAAAGAGACAAGGAAACTGATAGGGACCATCATCAGCTTTGATTATTTGCTGGAGGAAAATGTGTCATTCAGTACAATAAGTTAAATCAGTGGTTCCCAACCCTGTTTCATATGACGTGACCCTATAGCCTCTGAAAAACACTTCAAATCCATAGCTTTCAAAATCAGTCCGCTTTTATATTTAAAGGTATTCACCTGAAATAACTGAAACTGGACAACTTTAGCTTGCTGTACGCTCAGCTAGTCAGTTAGATATTTTGGCCATCCATTACTACTATCGTCGTACTTTAATCCTACATTTCAGTACATTCATTTGCTACTTGTTTACTACTTTTAGCAAAATGATTTAAATGCTATTATCTACCAGTTTCACAAATTATCCATTATGTTTAGGTAACAATTTTGTTGCTACTTTTAGCTAACAGATTCAACTGTGAATTATACTTTTATTATGCTATTCCAGTTGATACTCAGTGCTGTTATCTAACAATGTAACTGCTAGTAACAATTTTAGCATTGACAGTTTAAAAAATTGGCACAGCTTCTAAAAGCCTGCATTTTATCGGAACACCAGCAGGTGGCGCTAGCCGTGGCTGCAAAAAGGCTACCAGTCGTGTAGAAGTCTATTTACCTGCTGAGTTAAGGGACTCCATCATTTACTTTGGTTTATGCTGAACAAAAAATTAAGTCTGTTTTGTAAATCTTCCTCATACTATGTTTCAAAATGAAGATTAAGTTTGGCGTGAAACCAAAAACTCATTAGCTAGCGGCCCGGCAATCACAAGTCGCATCTGTTACTTTGCAACCAAGATGACAGCAGCTCAACTCGAGGCTTCAAAAAGGACTTCAGCAACCAGGAGGTGATGTAGCAATAACCACATCCATCATACACAGTTTTTAGTAATTTTTTTAGAAGGTACTTTTTTGTTGTAATCTTGCTAGCTGCTGTATTCATTAGCTAACTGATAAATTGTTATCCAATATACTTGGCAACATATTTTTGTCTTTTTTTAGTTCTCTTAACTAATAATTCATCCATTAGCTATTTAAGCAATCTATTTTAATCATTTACTATTTTACTATTTTAGCTTATCTGGCCCAAGAACCACTGAGCTTATGTAATCCCCCAGGCCCTCCATAATTAACCAAAATTACTACTCCTCTTAAAGTATTGGTCAGGTTATAGTTAAACTTGTACACTGATGTGTTTTAACCCAAATTGTGCTCAAGACTAAATTAACAATTGTTGTTTGACATTCACTTATCCAGTTTAATAGGAATTGCGACTCCTCCTAGAGTAGTGGCCAGATTTTGTCCAGGATACGATTAATTGTGAGCCTCCTTGACTTTTCAGATTATTTTAATTCATAGTGTGTGAAACACAACCAGCAGATTAATTTAATGCATGATTTGTGATGGGTCATGGGCCGGATGAGCTACTATATCAATGATAATTTATACATTCTGTTTGGTTGCCATTTACTTCTCAGTCCTCTTCAGCTTCTTCACCTAATATTTCTATGTACCCTGTGACTACCGCAGAAGTAGCCAGGGTTCATGAACTCAAGGTTGGGACTCACTGAGCTAAATCATTGTCATGAGGAGCTGTGGATGAGCACTTTTTTTCTCTTTTCTTTTTTGTTCACTGGAGCTCAATTAGTCTTCGAGAAGCGGGCAGAAGCTATTAAACCTGAGGAGCGCTGGTACCGACAGTACAGGGACAGAGGTGATGAGCTGTCACAAGAGGAGTCGTTACATGAAACGAGAACACATTCGCACAAAGCTGAGGTGGACACACACACCTGACTGACATAAGAGTGAAGCAGTTCAAGCAGAGAGAAAAAAAAAAGGTAATTAGCACGCAGTGAAGCGTAGAACACACTGCTCCGGTTAGATGCATTCCTAATAAGCAGTATCTCGATGGAAGCTGAAGCCGGGGCTCTGCTCCGGTCGGGAACAATCAACAGCTCGCTCATTGTTAATGGCTGAGACTTAGGTCATCCTTCCAGACAATGTTTAAGTAATAGAGGGGCTGCGGCGACATATACCGAGTAACAATTGCAAGGTGTCAACCTGCACAGGGGCTCTCGTTAGCCTTAACTGATCAAATTAAGACAGTCTGCTGCTGCAATTGGCAAACAGGAAGCATAATGATTTTTTTTTATGCAGGGAATGTGTGTTGCCCGTGATTAGGCTGGGGTGAAAGGACACGGCAGGAATAAATTAATTTGTGTGTCTGGCCAGGGTTAAGACCCAGTCAAATTAAAACCCAAAACAGTCAAAGAAGAAAAACGAAAAAGGGGACCAGCAGCTGCTACGATGATAGAGAAAGTGATATTTCTACATAGCACATCTATTTTTTTAATGATAGACTCTACACTCTGTCATGTTTTGATGCTACATATGATGCATTGACCCCGACAGTAACCGTAAAACCCTTTCCTGTTGTAGAAAATTAATACAGCTACATCATTGAACTACCTGATATTACGGTGCCCTCCTATCAAATTATGTACAATATCGACCTTTTCTCCAAGAGTTCATTTACAAAAAAATCTTGTGCTTTTTTTCCTGTTGTTGTATTCATCCGAAACACACATACACGTCCAAAAACGCACATGGCTGGTAGAAAAGAAACAATAAAAAGCCTTTTCTCCTCCTCGCCTCCTGTGTTCGCCACCATTTTCACTCAGAAAATGCACAATCCCTGCATTCAGTTGCGTTTAATTGGAAATGAATCTCACTGAGAGCAGTTCAAGATGTGGCAGATGTGTCTTCCAGCCACTCAAAGGATTCTCGTTAATAATAAAACAGGAAGTGACCCACTGAAGTGTCCTGAGCTGATGCCTTTTCGCTGAGAGTCTGCCTCTCAGTCTAGACACCTACATGAAAAGATGCTTCATACAGACTGCTACATTTTTTTTTTCATTTTTATCTTTGTAAAACTTTATCTTGAAAACATCTATGAGTTTTATCCACTGGAAGTTTGCAGGAAGTCCGAGAAATGGCAGTTGAATGTAATTGCGTAGATTGCCTTCTGATAACAAGCTTCCGTCTGAAAAGGTCGCCTGTTCAGAAGAATTTGGGGGATCTCCTGGACATAAATAAACACTAAAGTAAAGAGACACGGAGTAAATCTAAATATAATATCATAAGCACCACCACAGTGTATGGGCAGGAGAGCACAAATGTTAGGGTGGCAATAATGAGCTGCCTTGAGGAGTGACAACAGACTCTTAAACATGGCTTCTCAGCTTGGGAAGCAGTCTTTGGTCACAAATCAAAAGCTGAATAGTATTGAATGTCAGTGATAAGCTGTCCCAGTGTGCATCACTGACTGATGATGTCCATTTCCACTGCTTGGGATTGGATCCTGAGCTTCTCTTTCATGTCTAAATTCTCCTTTTTCACTGGGCTCTCTGTGCTAGTTATTAACACCTCTTCACAGCTTGTTATTACTGTGAAAAGCCCTCTAGTCTCCAGTGCTAGCGCTAGTGTGATCACACACAGATTTCTATGGCCGTCGCCATCACCATCTGGCTTTTGTTCTTGTCTCTTCCCGGAGACTGGTGCTGTCCGGACTCCTCTCTGGGAGACAACGGGTCGGAGAGAACGCTCCTTTTGAGGGGAGCCGGGCGCAGGCAGGATGTTCCCGGAGGCGTGGAAGGCTCGGGGTGTCTGTGGGAGGAACGCGAAGAAGTGGACGTCGAAGAGGTGCAGCTGCCGGTGCACACTCCAGAGCTTGACCTCTCACCTCTCTTGGCTCGACAAGACGCTCTGCGCCTGAGCTCGCTGACCAGCTCGTACTTGACAAAACAGAAGACATCCTTGACGCCACAGCGTTTTTCCGGCTCAGCGGCAAGGAGCCTCTGAAACATGCGCAGAGCATCGTCGGTGAAGCGGCGCCACTGAGACGGGTAAGTTCCCACGGGACACCCCGCTTTCTGCCAGCGTCGGAACTCCTCGTAGAAGGCGTCGGCGGGCATAGCTGCCTCCCAGGGGAAGTTGCCCGTCAGCATACAGAACACCAGCACGCCAAACGCCCACACATCCAGGCTGGTGGTCACCAAAAAACCCTCTGACCGGTTAGCGCGGCAAACCTCCGGAGCCGTGTAGGGGATGGTGCCACTCACCCGTTTCACACGGCAGCCCACACGTCGGGTCATACCAAAGTCAGCCAGCTTGATGCGGCGGCACTCGCGGTCAAACAGGAGCACGTTCTCGGGTTTGACGTCGCGGTGCACCAGGTTTTTACTGTGCATAAAGTCCAGGGCCAACCCCAGCTGCTGCATGCAGCGTTTGACCATTTCTTCTGGAAGACCCACCTAAGAGACACACACAGAAAAGAAAATCAGGCAACGTCGATTAATACAATCTGACGGGTACATTACATGGAGGAGGTGAGAGGTGACACAGAGAAAAGAGCCTTATGGTGAGAATACAGTACCAATAAAACATCGATGTTATATAAAGAAAAACTGAAACACGCAGAACCTCAGTTCTAAGTCCTGGTCCAGCCATTTTTAATGAGTCTTCAGAAGAACCTTGAAGTCGAGCATTCCCTGCACATCAGCCGGAATAGCACTAAAGGAAAGTGAAACGCTTTGCACAGAGAGGAAACCGGGACAAAGACGAGGCTCCTACCCCAAGAGAGCTTGTTAAAACTGCCGTGACTGAACATCATGACTGATTGGAGCAGCTCAGGCTGACTGTGAGGCCGGTGATTGGTGGAAGGATGAATGATGGCATTACCTGTGGGGGTATGATGTCGAAAAGGTCCCCGGCGGGGGCATACTCTTGTCCAAACACGTAGCTGTCCTCCGTTTCAAAAAGCACGTCCAGGACTTTGATGATAAAAGGACTGCAGCTAAGTGAGCCTGTTAGGCTGTATTCCCGCAGGAAACTTTTCAGCTTTGTCTTGTTCTTGGTAACAAACTTCAGGGCCATTTTGGTGCCTAAATAAATAAATGAAAAAAACAAAATCACACATTAACACAGAGAGCACACAAACACAGTTAAGCTCTGGTGTACTAAACCTGTGTCTCACATAAGTACTGCCAACATTTTGCTGTCCAACACTGTCCATGTGTTACCCAAAAAGCACTTAATGTGAATTTGGAACTATTTCCCGATACTCTCTGCGACTAGAAAGATTTCTGACTACTCAACCCTTTCTTTGTGACAGCTGCTGTGTTCATTCATCATTTACGCAAACGGTGCATGGTGAATGAAACTCACCTCCGTCACACACATAACCAGCTGTTCACAATCACAGCTGGAGGATCTCGTTAATGCTCGCACAGCTCGATAAATCTCCGACACATTGTCATTCTGCTCCACGCCGCTTTAAACACTCCCTTATACTGCGCTTATACAGAGCCAACTCTCTAATCTTGGGTTTCTTACAACAAAAGATTAAAACCTAAACCTGAGAAATCCTCAACCAACCCTTCTAACTCTGCCGAAATTAATTCCCAGCAAAGTGCCTCGAGACTTTGCGGTGTGCTGATCAGCCTTAAGTGGTTATGCTCAACTGTGAGGCCCGCTGGCACACCGTAGATGCTGAGATTATAACAATCTGCTATCCTAAATTTCAGTTTTTACGCTTGATTAGTTTGGAGACGGGAATGGCGGCTGGAAGAGCTTTTGCACCAACTCACCCTGCGTCCTGTGCACCACCAGGTCCACCTTCCCGTAGGTGCCCTTCCCCAGCTCGCGGATGTGCTCGTACTGTTTGGCTACGTCTGCGGCTGATAGAGAAGTGATGGCCAGGGCCTGCATATCCTCCACGGGCACCCCTCTGCAGTAGCCCATTTTTGACGTAGGGGAGCCTCCGCCGCTGCCCACCCGCCCCGGTCCAGACGGAGAAAGAGACAGGCTCGCCTTGACGCTGTGGGGCAGACTGATGGGAGAGGAGAAATCCGATTAGAATCAGATTACTATGATGATGCCTAGCACTTTATACATGTGCTATACTGCACGTGTTTATCCTTCTTGAGTGTCACATCCATGCATTACCCATCTAGACGGCCCATCTCAAGGGATGGTTAAATCAGGAACGCCTTAATGGACCTTAATTTCCATACAATCAATGCAGGGAAGGCATCTACAGGGGGGAAACTTTCAGTAAATGTGTCGTACTTCCTGCTGTCTCTCTGGATCACTCTGTCCAGCTATCAAATGTGGCTGTACTCAGACAGCACTTACTGGCAGACAGCAATGGGAAAATCAATAACAACAGGTAGAAGGAAAAGGAAACATATCGAGAGGGCTGACAGCTTTAAGGTGTAAACATGCTGGTACGACATGCATGCCTATCTGAGACGGCTCTGAACTGATCGTCGTCCGTATAAGTAATTAGCTTCGCCTCGACAACACATCTTACTTTTGCGCCACAGTCGCCCTGAGCATTTCTGTCAAACTGCTCAAAGTGAGGAATAAATGACTGCAACGGCGAAGTTTTGGCCGCTTTTCAAAAGCGCTAAGTTTGAAATAGGTCAATGCGATCCTGCGAGAATTAAAAAAAATATAGGCGGTTTAATTGAGTGTTCAGACACACATCGCTGGTAACAAATTAAATATCAGGGATGAGTGGATGCACACGTATTGGTTACAAGGTTGAGCGAATCAAAGGAAAGTGAAAGAAAACCGAAGCTATCAAATAAAGTACACAAAATTGAGCTTTTGGTGAAATGAAGCAGAACACCCTAATGATCCCATCCATTGTCTCAGTCTCTGTTCAGCCCCCTCCTCCCGACACACACAATCAAATTTAATCATCCAATCATGCACAGTGAGCACACACACACGCACACAAACACTAGTAGGAACCAAATCAGCACAAACAATTTTTGCTGATGGCCTTTTTCATCCGTCATTCAAAGCCAGCTGCCTTGCTCTTTGTTCTTTTTTCCCCTGGAGCCTGGTTTCTCAGCGCCGCTGCTTTAAAACCAGGCTCAGAATAAAGAGCATCAACTCTGTGTTTCCATTAACATTTTGGTACACTTTTGGTGAGAAACAAAAAAAAAAGACTCTGACTTATTGCACAGTACTAGATGTTCAGCTGAAAATATGGCATGGGGTATATTTTCGAGGCATTTGGTTGGTGCTGCTCTTGTGGGTAGAATGTGATAAATATAGCTATTAGACAGTGAAGCCTAAAATAAGATGCAGCCATTTGCAGCTTTGTGTTCTTGGCTCAACACCCTTTCTCAAAAGAAGAAGAAGAAAAAAAACCAAGACTGCAAATAGAACGAGTGCCCTGTGTACCCCATGTACTGTGCAGATAACACTTGTTTCTTGATTTTATCATAACCGTGGAGATGGTTATATAAGAAGCTATGAATATTGTAGCCATCTCGTGCTGAGAGTCCTCGCCGCATGTAGCCTTCAGCGAGTCGACGCACGAGGCGATGACTTCCAGATCAGAGTGCAGTCCGGGTTTGGTGATACACAACACAGAACATTTCCTCTGACCGCCCACCCCGCGTGGCCCCCACAGCTCTCGATCGGGGCTTGTTTACCGGCACCTTCCAGTCAGCTCCACAGGCCGAATGTGGAGCATTTCAGCATGGATCCATAATCGCGTTACTCAGCAGCTCCCACAAAGACATCTTCCCCCACCCTGCATTTCCCTTTGCAGTAGTGAATTAAGAGGCCTAAAAATGCGACGGTGGATGGTTGGACGATGCCCCCCCAACTGCACCCTGCAGAGATGTTGTAAATGTGAACAACAGGAAAAAGGCAGTGCAGTGAAGGTAGAGGTGAGGTGTGGGGATGAGGCTGTGTGTTTTTTTCCGTGTGAGTGTTTGCACGCGAGTGTCTGGGAGGGGAGGCAGGTGTATCAGTCCCACAGTGACACTCTATTAAAGGCTCTTTGTGTTCCTACCTCTGAGAGGGAGCAGCTGTCAGCCTCAGCACGACTCAGCGTTTGTGCCCGACCTACTGATCTGCCCCGCCACCCTCTGCTCCCTCCTCGTCCTCTCAGGCGGCCACAGACAAGGTAATGCGCACATGCTCCACATACAGATGAAGATTGGGCTCGAGACGAATTTGCATATCTGGGGATTTTTGGAGCCAGTCTTATTCATTTCAATCAAAATAAAACAGCTCCCTAGATTGGCTGCTTCTTCTCATATTTGTGTTTCCGTTTTGTGAGAGGCCTAAAAACAACTGCAAAAAACTAATGATTTTTTTTATGTATAAGAAAGAAACAATCTGTTTTCCAGATTTATTCTTATTCTGTTTGGGAGATAATGCACTATAACAAGCTGTTTCCCCTTCTTACTGTTTTACTTCATTATCACCACAGCGATGGACTGACATCTCGTGTTTCCTCATCCAAGATTAAAAAGGGAGCTGTTCACCTTTTGTTCTAGCTGGAGACAAACATAGTTGAACCCTGTGACAGATGCTCCTAGCTTTTTCTTCCACTGTCAAATGCTCAGAGGGTGTAGCCCTAAAAGCCAGGGTTGGCACTGTTAGTCCATCTGTAGGCCCACTGCATCAGATTAGACTGAAGTCTCTCCTGTGTGCAATAATAGTGTACGGAGAATAAATCCTACTGGGGTGATCCTTTGATTTTAGCTTTTAGCTCTCATATAGTACCTTCAGTAGGTCTTAAATCTTACCAGTCATCCCAAAGGAAGTGCAGCTAGCTAACATTACAGCTCAGCTAAGGTGTCAAACACAGGTAGATGCAGGCAATTTTTTTTTCTTGGAGTATCCAAGTCGCAGCTCCTGACATTGATAAACACTGCTGGAGAACTTTTCAAATATATTTTTATGGCACTTTGAGCACCGTCACACAAGCAGGAAAGCAGACATCTCTACTCAGACGGAGTGACAAATTTCATATTAGGTTAAATCCCTGCAAAACTGAACTCCATCCTCTGCCTGCGTTTGTGTTTAGTGTCACCGTGCACACAGGGTATGCCAGCAGGTCAACAGGGCAAACGTTCTGTTCGTGTTGATCTGAGCATTTCAGCGTTTGCTTCTTCAAGTGCAGCTTCACAGAGATGTCTGGAGACTCTTAACGGAGCGATTTGTCCTCCAAAGATAAACTGTAATAATGTCAACAATTCATTACCATAAGAAATCAGAGCTCGGAAGCAGACAAATCCTATCTGTCACATTAACATGGGGCTCATTAGGGAGAATTATTGTGTATTCAGTGAGCTACTGGATCTCCTGGTGTGATGAGTGTGAACGGCACAGCTGCAATGAACTGTGGCCTGACTTTGATCAGGACATGAAGACTTTATGAAGGTAAGATTCAGATATAAATCGATATAAATAAACATAATAGATTATATATAATAATAATAATATTTTTTAAGATGAAAATGTATTAATCAATCTCCAATTAATATGTTAATGTGCATAAAGCGTATATATTATGGAAAGCGGAAACAAATCCAGCAGCTTTACACACACACACACGCACACACACACACACACAGAGTTTGTGCTTTTAAGTCCGTCCCTGCTTCCTCCCTCCTCTCCTTCATCTCTTTTGTCTATTGCTGAAAATGTAAACAAGGGGCTAATGAAAGAAATAAATAGACTGCAGAGCCTGCCTCGCAGCTTTACCTCTCTGTGTTACTAATGGACTAGTTGCTTGTCTCTCGGCAGAAGAGTCATTATGGGTGAGGACTGATCTCTTGTGTCCAATTTACTGTCAAAATGCCCAACGTGCCTCGCCTGTGGGTCAAAGTGAAACGAGCGAGTGAAACGCGACGTGACTAATGCGGTTTCTCTTGCTGTCTGTCTGGGAAAAAAAAGCAACTGCACGCAGCGAACAACATGTACAGTATCTGTTGGTCTGTCTGTCTGCATTTCCTTCCTTCTTGTCTCGCTATAGGTGGGCAGAATAAAAACACTGATCATTCAATCTAAACTAAATGGCTTCCTCCTGACAGCCACTTGCAGGGAGGACACTCTGTTCTTTGCCCAGACTTTTTAAAAAAAGAAGCTGAATCTCCTTCGTCAGCAAAACAAAACTTCATGCCCAGTGAGTTGGTGGGTTTAGTGCCTCCGTCCTGCTGTGCTGTGATAGGTGAACCAGTATCCACAGACTGCAGACGCTCACTTTGACAAATCACCTGCTCTCAGCCTTGCACAGCTGCCCATATGGACGAACCCCTGCTGGGACCGAGCCTGCCGTAACCTGCTCCTGGCTTGCCTCGCTTCTGCCCTCTTTCCCCCATCATCCCTCCCTCCCTCTGCTGTATGTCACACAGCCTGGAACAAAAGCTGCCTCCTGCTGGAAAGACCAAAGACTCTGTATGGGATAACCCAAGGTTAAACCTTCCCTAACAAGGACTGAGAGCGGTGGTTAGCTGTGAGGGGTGACACAGCAAAGGACATGTCGTTCAAAGACGACAACCAAGGCCTATCTGTGACATAAAAGGGCAAAAAATATGAAAAAAAACAACCTTAAGAATAGCAGCTATCATTATTGTAGTTTACGATTAAGGCCTGAGGTATAAGAACTTGTAAACACCTGATTATAAACGCCAATCAAAAATCAACGTCACCCTCGCTGTGATGTCTGTCAGCGGTGCAATAAGCTGCCTATGGGAGAAGCTGTAAGCTACCCTCACTCTCTTACAGCCTCACAATCCAGTAACCTAAAGTGATGAGAATGAGAGAGAGATGGTGTGGAAATCTAGTGAGAGAACTGAAGCATTGCCTCCTCAGTAACCACACAGCTCGTGTCCCTGTGATGTCACAAAGATGGGGGAATGTGACTTTAATTTGAGCTCGGTAAAATGGGGTTTAAACGGGGGTGTAGATAAATGATGTAACAGCTCCGTTAAGGAGGATGTTGCTTTTTTTTCTCCCCCAACCCTGAAAAAAACAACCTCTACTTCAAGGCAAGCTAACAGTATATGGTGCTTTGTTATCTTGCACAAACACAATAGCCTCTAAGCACAATTACTAATGCTGATTGCTCAAGCTGCATTCACTAACTCTGCTTTATCTCTCTCTAAATACATCGGTGACAGATTATTCGTTTAAATCTGAAGCTGAAGACAAGAACAGACACAATTCAAGAATTGACTGACCAGTTACTAGAATAACGCCATATTAACGCAAACTGAAAAAAGGCCTTAAATAACAGAGTCTATACAGTGTTATTCGCACAGGACGAAGAAGGAAAAGAAGCCAACAGAGAAAACACAAGCACATGTGTCACAATATGTACACTAATTGGGTGTCATTAGATGTTCTAGGATGTAATCTGCACGTAATTGTTTTGTTTGTGTATTTTTTATACCCAGCAGGGGCCAGACATCTGAGCAAGGGGAGTAAAGAGCTTCGTGTCTTCTATGCATTTTAATTGACAAACCATTTGCATTCTTTGTGTCCTCTGGGCAGCCATGTTTTACCGTGACAGCCACTGCACAGGCAAACCGTGCCTGCTTAAATGGGATCTTTTGATAAAGAGATCTAAATCGGGCAAAACTTTGTTAAAGACGGCGTATTAGTCACGTGCACGTGGGTGTCAATGGGCGGAGATGGGTTTAGTAGGAGCTGGAGCTGGTTATTGCCCATTATAGCCTACTGTAGCTATCTGTGGAAGCTGGAGAAGTTCTGCAGGGTTTGTTTGGAACATTTTGGGTAACTTCACGCTGCTTTTTCTGTCATAAACAGTTAAGAATTTCAGCTGAAAGCGTAGAGCCCAACTTTAAGATCACATCATCTCTGGGGTGTTTTGTTTTCACACCGTTCAGGTCAATAATGTGCGTCTCCTACTTCACCAGAAAAAATTTAATAAATCTGCCAAAGCAGAAAGAAATGTCAGCCACTGCAGCTCCTTTATATACAACCATTGGCTGCTGTTGTGTTTCAGTTAGAGTCCATTACCAGCCTCCAGCTTGTGCTTTTTATGGGATTTTCAAGTCAGCTTCTCATTTAAATGCATTAGACAGCATTAGGGATGAGATATCACCTGTCTGCTCTGGACAAAGTCTGAAAGGGCCATTAAAGACCAGGATGCCCTCACATCCACAGTGCGGACTGAATAATAAAAACAAGGGGGGGGGGGGGGGGTGATATATGCAGCTATCACAAATAATGTGGATGAAAACACAGATCGGGTCGTTTCTCAACCATTAATGCCAGTTAGAATGACTCATAGCCTGGTGGTGGGGAAAAGATAAAGCTGCTGTGCTGTATAATAAGTGCTGACACCGGGATATTTTTATGTGCTCCTGTATTATTCATGCACGGATATGTTGTGAGTGGGTCAAAGTTGAAAGTCGCTCAGAGTGGGGAGCACCAGATTTTAATTGCAAGAGCGTTTTATTACATTTAAAGTATCGCAAATAAAAATTGGGACACTAAAAGGAAAAATAAAGATTTTCTACTTCAGCTGTTTCTTTCCTTCCTCTCTCATTTGCAGTGTCATGCATCATGCAGGCTGACCCGGTTTCAGGCACCTCGGGGTGCATGTGAGGTGTTACTCACTCACCTGCTGGCGACCTGTCTCTCTCCTCCGTGGTCCTGCATCCGCTCGGCGAGCAGAGCCTCTGCGCTCTGCTCTGCTCAGCGCCGATCCGTTTGATCCGGTTCTCCTCGTTATTATCGATCACTCAGAAACGCCAAAGAGTTCTTAAAAAACAACAACAACAAAAAACACCTTAAAGCCTTCGCAGTTTCACAGCGGGCAGCCTGCTGCCCCCCTGTTTTCTGGAGATGCTCTTCAGTTTGAGACTTTCTTTGGAGGCGGGTGGAATCAAAGCAGCATCTGATGCTCAGTGCTGAGATGGGGACACATGCTGGGATCCCTCCTCTGTGCGCCCACCATCTGAACCTGCCGTGCAGCGGGAGGATGAGGACGAGGAGAAGGATGAGGAGGGTGCGTGTTTATCTTTCGCTCCTCCAGCGGTCCGCATGACCCAGTTCAGCACCACACACACATACACACTCAGAGGCGAACCCATTCATTCGCATCCACGCAGGAACCTCAGCGCAGCTCCTCTCTGCACGCACTGACGCGTTTGCGTGCTTCCTGCGCTCCTCTCTGAACTCAGCCCAGCGCCGCTGTTACTGACGGCCGGTCAGTCCGTACTGTCTTTCGCTCTAGAGTTGGACAGTGGGTGTAGGGGAGGGGAGGGGGTGTCTCAGATGTTTCTCCTGTGCAGGTCCTACCAGTCAGTTTCTTCATTGTTCGCCGTCTCCACCCCTCCGGCAAACTAATACGCTCACGTGTCCTAGGTCCTAGCGCCGGACGCGCCCACCCAACGAGCCTAAAATGCCTCCAGGGGCTTCTTTAACTTTTGATTCATGCTTTGAACGAGCAGGCCTCTCCGCTCTTGCGTAATTCAACAGCTTATGGCCCCAATTGCGTGTACTTCACACGGTGACTTTGCCAACTGTCCTTATTAGGTAACAGCGAGGCAAGACTTTCGATTAATTCACTGCCTGGCAGCTCCCCCTTTACTGTACATGTTAATCAACAGGCCTCCCGCCACACTTGTTTGCCAACCACAACAGATTGGACTGAGGAAAACGCCGTGATGTAATGGCTGGGTTTGTTTGGAGAATGCAATGCTTTCACACGTTTATGATTTTTTAGTGACATCCACTATTGATCCATGGGGTTTAATAAGATGTTGGTCCACCTTTGGCTTTCCATAAGGTTTAGGAGTGTGTTTATTGGAACTTTTGACCACTCTTCCACAAATGCATTTGTGAGGTCAGGCACTGATCTTGGATGCGAAGGCCTGCCTCACAGTCTCCACTCTGATTCACCCCAAAGGTGTTCTCTCAGGTTTAGGTCAAGACTCTCAAGTCAAGTTCTTCCAAACCAAATTAGCTCATCCAAGTCTTTGTGGACCTTGCTTTGGGCACTGGTGCGTAGTCATGTTGGAACATGAAGGGGCCATCGGCAAACTGTTCCCGCAAAGTTGGGAGCTTGAAATTGTCCAAAAGTTCTTGATATGCGGAGGCATTAAGAGTTCCTTTCGCTGGAATGAAGGGGCCGAGCCCAACCTCTAAAAAACAACCCGACACCAAACTTTACACATGCCACAATGCAGTCAGAAAACTGCCATTCTATTGGCAACTGCCAAACCTAGACTCATCCATCGGATTGGCAGACAGGAAAGTGTTATTCATCACTCCATAGAACACATGGAAACATATTCCATGAAGCTCTCTATGTGCTGTTCTTGATCTAATCTGAAGGCCACATGAAGTTTGGAGGTCTGTAGCCAAAGACTGCAGAAAGTTGTTGACCTCTGGGCATTATGTCCCTCAGCACACCGTGGCTGAGTTACTGTCATTCCCAATCACTTCCACTTGAGTATATCCTTCTCTCATCCTCCCCCTCTTCTGATGAAGAACAGGACACTGATACCCAGCGTGTCAGTAAAGGTGAGTATGGTGAGTATATCCTTCTCTCATCCTCCCCCTCTTCTCACGAAGCTTCTCCTTCAACCTCAGTTCTCACCTCCTCAGCAAAGAGAAGCAGAGAAGACATCTGCACTGAAGAGGTAAGTGCAAAGAGGTGCAAGGTAAGTGATGACACGTTCTGTGGCCCTTCAACATCATCAGGTTCTTTTGGTCTCAGACGCCTCTGGGACAGGCCTTTTAACCTTTCACTTGATGACAGTGACCCTGACTAGGTGATGTTAGAACTTGTTCTTAAACTTTAAACATTTAAGTTGGCCTTTGCGTCTTTCAGTGTTTGCAAGACACTTTCTTGCTTTGAGGACAGCTTCTTGTGAATATCCTTTACTTTTTAATTAACTTTGTAATGTTTAAGTTAAGCCTTTGTGTCTTGTGATGTTTGTAACACAGCTAACTAAGAATATCTGACTTTTAAAGAATATTAACTAACACATGTGAAATGTATTGTTTTTTTTCTTAATATGTGACATTGCCTGTGTGACTGTAAGGTAGTGTTTTAGGTGTTGTTACTTCTATTTTTGTTAATATCACAGGTAACTGTTTAAATGACTTACATATTTTTTCTCACGCTCTAGCTCACCATGCAGGACAAAGGTAAGTCCGTACTTAATGTCAACACAAATAAGTAGAAATGGTTTAAAAATGATGTCGTGAACTGACTGTAGTCTCTTGTTTTTACATAAGATATAGCCTGTGGCTAAGGGATCACAGGTAAGGTGAAAACACATAACAGAAGAAAAGTAAATTGAACAAATCAGTGATCTGTGAATTCATCCTTTTCTCTTTGTCTTTTTGTCTTCAGGTGCTTTACGCTTGTCCTCTCCCAGCATTCCAGACGGCGCTAACACAGAGAGATGCTCCACCCAGAAGACAGCCTTACCCCAACCCGATGAGAAGGATGGATGACCAAGTTACAAACTGGAGAGTGGTGCTGTGTTAAGTTATCACCTCATATTGGCTACAAACTGTCTTGAAGACTAAATGCTTCCAATAGCTGGTATAAATCATCGTCCTACAGTACTGTAGGTCTAAGTTTATTTATAGTTATTGTGTATATATGTTGAGTTTAAAATAGCATTTTAACAACATGCTGCAGCTACCTACTATGGAAATGCTGTTTTGTGTTAAAATTAAGTCTTTCTTGTGTTATTGCTTTGCAGGGCAGCTGAGAGTGGACAGAGTCATACCTGACTGGCCACAGCACCACTCCTCTTCACCCAGGGTGAGGAGGGTCCTGACTCCGCCTGCACAGAGGGAGTTGTGAACATGCACTTCTGTATCGGTGGGTTTAGGAGCCTCCTCACACACACACACGGATAAAGACTGTCACTGGAAGATGTCTCCACTGCATCAGCAGGATAGGACGTAAGCATTTGTATAATGTTACAGTTTGTGATGTTTTATACATGTTTTTATTGCTTCATTTCAAACTAGGAGATATAAAATAAACCAGTTTTCATAATAGTTTCTGTCTCTTTAGTTGTTTTCTTAAAGCGATCCATTCTTTCACAAATGTTTGTAGAAGCAGTCTGCACGTCTAGGTGTTTGGTTGTATACATCCTCTTGTTTTTATACGTGGAAGTGATTGGACTGCTAATTTATATCAGACCAGCAAACTGTGCTCCTTATACTTTTCCTTATTTTCCCTTTTCACCCAGCATCGAAATAACAAAGAGAGGCAAGGTATACTCAGATTACATATTGACAGTGAAAAATAAGCTGTTATGGCAGCTAAGGTTTTAGGAAAAAGAAGAATGACTCGTATAAAAAGGGGCAGCACAGGGGAATGTGATCTTTAGTTTCCTGAAAGTGAAAAAATCTGACCCATGTTGTTTTAATCCTTGTTGGGGAAGTGCTGGATATTGAATAGCTGCATCTTCAGCAGCTCTCGGAGGCATTCAGGTGTCTCACAGTGCGCTGCACCATTAGGCCAACAGGCAGCGAGGCGAAGACTTTCCTCGGGGTTATCGTGGGAACGGAGCTGTCATAAATCATCGTGAAGGTCAAGAACTGTGCGCCGACAGCAGAGAGCATGAAGGGTCAAATACACTGAGGACACAAACACACACACCTCCAAGCTGTGAACAACTAGGGCTGCTACTCCTCTCCTCCCCTCCTCACTCCTTTTTTTTTCCAGGCACAAAACTCACGTCCCAGTTTTCACTTTTTTGTGTGTCACCTAAAGTTTTCCGCCTCTTGAAAGATGATGGCCTTGTTTTTTTTTTCCATGTTCTCAAATTCATCTTCATGTAGTGTTTACTGCATTACTTTGTATCCTAGCTTCACTTCGAACCGCAGTGTCCTAAGAGGAATTTACACAAGGCCTCAAGAACCAGAAAAGCCTTCTTCCACCCACAGTCCAAAGACAGTTGGTTAGGTTAACTGGTGATTCTAAACTGATCATAGGTGTGGCCGCAAATGGGTTTTTTTTTTTTTGCCTCTCTCTGTCTCTCTGTCCAGGATGTACTCTCTCACCCAACAGCTAGAATAGGCTCCAGCCCCCCGTGACCCATATTGGGTAATTGGATCAGCCAAGAAGAAGGAAAAGTACAAAAGCAGAAAGTTCCCTCAGAGATGGGACAAACCTTTCTGTTTCCACATGAATATGAAGACTAGTTAGCGACCTTAACAACCCTTTCCATCAACTAAATATCTGGGAACTGTTGCAACATTTGCTTTGAGTGGTAAAAAAGTATTTTAAAGAAGAAGATTTTCTTATTTAATGTCATACCCTATTAAAATGTTAGATGCTCATATATAAAAAATGGACATTTTAAATAATGACATCAGCATATGTCTTCTTAGGCAAAAGCACAGGTTTTAGACTCCTGCAAACATGTAATTTCAGATCTTTTTTTTTCTACTTTTGGTCCTGTGTGATGTCAAAGAAGTACAGCTGTTTGTGAGGAGCAGCCAATCAGAAGAAAGCTGGCTTAAAGGGAGTGTGGCCTTAAAATAAGAGAAACCAAAGTGAGTAGCTGAAGACAGAAGACAAACTACTTTTTGGCTTCGTGTAGGTTAAAAGGGGATTATTTTGAACTGTGGAAAACCAAAACGTGTGGAAACTTGACCTTTAAATAAATACTGGAGAAAAGTACCCTACTGAATTGAAACTTAGGCTGGTGGATTCTTGCTGTCTACTGACTCTTATTCTTTATATTCCCACTTTATGCCATTTCCCCAGTCTTTTATTTTGTCATTAGAAAGTACTATTTTATTTTTAAGAGAAATAAAAGCGATCAATGTTGACTATTGATGCGTTCACAGACATTAAGAAAATTTTAATGTCATAATCAAAGTGACACAAACCAGACTGTCCAAGTTTCAAGCCGTTTCCTTGTCTCAGAAACTACATTTCCCACATTGCAATGGGCCCGTCACAGGGCGATGACGCAAAATTTACGCGCGTGTAACCTTGTCTTCCTAATCAGTAGTGTTTTTAAATCAGGCGTGGATACGTTAGTTCGTTTTTGATTGTTTTTTTTTTTTATTCCGAAGTTATGAGCAGATATATTTTACCCGTGTCTGTCTTTGGAACAGTGTTTGGATGCGCTGTTTTACTGAAGTGAGTAACTAATCATCATCATGAGGACACTGCGATGTTTCTGGGTGCTTAATTTACACTGGAAATGTGTCATTTCTCAAGTGCATTCAATTCAGTGACAGAGAGTCGTCATACTGGGTATTGTCACGTTATTTAGTAGTTTTTGGAGTAACTGAAAGGGAAACACTTCACTCTTACACAACCCCACAAGGTACAGCCTTCTTGGCTAAATGGTATAGCTGAATAGAGCAGAGTTTACAGATTCAAAAGGTGTTAATGAAATTCTGTTCGCACATTAAAGAGCGTGAAGGCAGGGTGATTTTTGATGTTCTGCCTTACTTAGAACAAAAACAAGAACATTTTGGGTAGTGCTGTGCAATACTTTTAACCTATAAAGGAAGCTTATTATAAGCAATTTATTTATCCAACACAATTCATCGGGCTATATGCTGAACTTAGAGCGGGCAATACAATATCAAGTCGATACCGGATCAGGTTTTTTTCTGGTAATGTGATGAAACACATAAAACCGGCAGAATGAACATTTCAGACACTGTGTTAATGCAGGCTCCCTTCTCAGACTGACACACTGTAAGGCCTCTCTGATTTCATTTCATTAACCTAACCCATGCATGTGTTTGGACTGTTGGAGGAAGCCGGAGAGCTTGCAAACTCCCCATTTGAACCCAGGACCTTCTCACTGTGAGGAACGTCCTGTTAAATAAGTACGAAGCACTTTACAGGCAATAATCCTGTGTGGTGGCATGTTCTCCCTGGGTACCCTGCCCTCCCACGACCCTGACTTGCCCAGTGGTTAAGAAAATCGATGGCTGGATAGAAAAACAACAGTAATGCTGAGTTATAAAAGCAGCTATGTAGATTAGCTGCTGCAGGCCAATTAAGCTGTGAACTGAGATCTGAGGGTGGTTATGTAATGTTCACAGGTGTGACGACCTCTGGTTGTTTGCTCGAGTGAAATAAATCTTGCCGCTCTTCTCATTTCTTACTTTCTGCATGTCCTCGCCTCCTCTCTTTGTGTTTTAGGCTTACGATGTTGATTTATTCGCCTGAACTGAAGAAAAACCCACTTTAGGTCAAGTCTTGTTGTTTTTAAACGTGGCGTATCAATAAAATTGACTTGACTTAACCTCCCACCTGAGATGCAAGCAGAGCAGGCGAGAAAGGAGTCAGGGCCTTTAACAAACTTAGATGTTGCTTCAGAGCTGTCATTCTAAAGCAGTCCCAGCATAATGTGAGATGCACCTGAATCATCTGCTCACTGTTTTGCTGATGCTGCCAGATGAGTTGGCAGAAAGTTTTGACACTCAGTGATCTGTGTGTCATGCTCACGGCTTCTTTTTGCTCCTTCTCGAGGTACATTTAAAGAACTGAGACATCCTTCAGGAGGGTGAGTGGCAGTCTCCAGTGTTTGACTAAGATACCAATAAACCTTTGTTTAATTATTTTCATAGAGACCGCATGACTGGAGGCCGGTGTCCTAGTAAGGCTACCATTAATGAAAAGACTGTGGTTATAACAGGAGCTAACACAGGCATTGGAAAAGAGACTGCCCGAGAACTGGCTAGAAGAGGTATGGAGAACCTGATTCCCCTCTGATTTGGTGCAAAAAGGTGCAACTACTTTTCTCTCACTGACACACCTTGCCTTTAAAAAATAAAAAATAAAAAAATTCTCAACATCATCAGGTGGTCGGATTATTATGGGATGTCGCGATATGGAGAAGTGCGAAGCGGCTGCAAAGGAAATTCGGGGGAAAACCCTGAATCCTCACGTTTATGCACGTCGCCTCGACCTGGCCTCCATGAAGTCAATCCGAGAGTTTGCAGAGAGGATCAAACAAGGTGATGAACCCAGAACAGTTCAGTTTCAGGTACGGGAGTAAAGCCTGCTTCTGTAACACTGTTTCTACTGTAGAGGAGCCGCATGTGGACATACTGATAAACAATGCTGGGGTCATGAGGTGTCCACAGTGGAAGACAGAGGACGGCTTTGACATGCAGTTTGGAGTGAATCACTTAGGTACACACTAACCTCTAAAAATCACAAGCTAGACTGACTATGCATTCCAGTGAAATTTCCCTTCGTCCGTCACGAGCTGATTCTGAGTTTGTCTCCCACCAGGCCACTTCTTACTGACAAATCTTCTGCTGGATAAGTTGAAAGAGTCCGCCCCCAGCAGAGTGATCAACCTGGCCTCTCTCGCCCACATTGTTGGAAAGCTTGACTTTGAGGACTTGAACTGGGAGAAAAAGAAGTTTGATACCAAGCAGGCGTACTGTCAGAGCAAGCTTGCCAATGTTCTGTTCACCAGAGAGCTCGCCAAGCGATTACAAGGCAAGTCTACTGGCTGCTGTATATGTGGGCATGTGTGGGAGAGAGTACGGCCTGTGTTCTTGTTTGTAATTGGCCAGTGGACACGTATATGTGCGGTATGTATTTTTAAACAATGCTGTGTGCAACAGGCACAGGAGTCACAGTGAATGCGGTGCACCCGGGAGTTGTTGCCACGGAGCTCGGGAGGCACACTGGCCTTCACCAATCACAGTTCTCGAGCTCTCTGCTCAGTGAGTATCCCGTTTCCTTACTGGATCCCGAATCAATAAAAGCTCACCACACTTAGCCCAGTCTGTGTAGACGCTAACACATCGGGAGAGGAACTGTTCTTTTTTTCTTATTAATTGGGGGGGAAATTTAAAATAACGTAACACACATCTAAAATAAGTTCTATTTAATTTTAGTTGCATAGCTCAACGCTGTGACAAATGAATTTTAACTGTAACTCATGTTACCGCTCAAAGTCATGTAGTTTTTAATAGCACAATTACAGACAGTGTAAAACATGGTTGTAGCTTCTGGGTTGGAAAAATAAAGCTGATGCAGAAAGCTGATGCAATCTGTCTGAACACCACCAGATGGCGATAGATGTAGTTGCAAAAAGACATCTGAGGGAAATCTGCTTTCTGTCTTCACCTATGTAAATGCTTTCCTGCTAAATTCATGGGTTTAATTATACTGAATACAAACTTAAATCTATTTTGTAAACGTTGGTCATGCCATGTTTCAAAAAGTAGGATTATCTGTGGTATTTTCCACTCGCTTATTGACTAACAACATATTCATCATAAGCTGTTACCCAAAATGGGACTTTTGGATGTCACAGTAGCTACGTTCATCCTTTATACTGTTTAAAACTAAAATGCAGGTGCTGCACATTTATTTCTCTGGTTCTCGACATACAGTGCTGTGCAAAAGTCTTGAGCCACTTCCCATTTCTTTATATTTTGCTTTCAATGAGCCAGACTTGCTCTTTTATTATGGTGGTCTTGAGAAATACTTCCCCAGGATTTCTAAAAGACTTCTTTGAACACAGAAAAGTGCCATCAGATTTCAATCCACCATCTGGAAAACATCTGAGTGGTAATGGCTTTGTTTTTCAGCACAACAATGATCCTGAACACACTGCCAATGCAGTAAAAGCATAGCTGGATAGAAAAACACACAGGGGAACACAATCGGTCATGGATTGGTCTCAGCAGAGCCCGGACCTCGACGTTATTGAGCTAGTGTGGGATCATCTTGACAGAGAACAGAACAAAAGCAGCCAACATCCAAGAAAATTATGTTTGCAGGTGTTTCAATAAGTCGCTGCACATATTTCACATTTTCCAGCAAAATATAAAGAAGTGAAGGCTTGCTCAAGACCTTTTCACAGTACTGTAAAATAATCTAAAATATTAATCAGCAAAGAAATGACATCCCAGTTCTATTAAAGCCTCTTAAATCAAACACCAGCAGTGTGGCAATGTTGTTCACTTACACTGTATATAAAACACTGATGCAGCCCCCTCCCTGCCTCTAACCTATATTCTTTCTAAGTGTATAGTGTTACCCTGGCAACTCCAACACAGGAGATGAGGATTTCAACGACAACTTCCTTCTATATTTTTTAAAGCTGTGAATGTACTTTACTGCTAAGGGAATGCAAATTCCAGGGTTTGGACTTAATAATTAAAGCCCTTATCTGTGGATAAGGGTTAGGCTATAATACTAATACTTCAAAAATAAATAAATAAAAATAAAAACACCTTAAAACCTAAGAAAAAGGGCCTGCAAGTTCCCAGTTGCAAGTTGCATCTAATAGAGGATGATGTTGTAGGAGGATAAAGCGGCGTGTGTTTAAAGCTAATGTTACTCAGTCAGATCCACCTCCTGCTTCTTTACATGTGGTTTGAATCCTCTTGGCTACATAAACATTTTCTACTGTGGAAAGCAAAGTTTTTGGTGTTGAATTAAAATGAACCTTTCCTCCCAGGTCCCTTTTTCTCATTGTTGGTGAAAAGCCCAGAGCACGGGGCCCAGCCCAGTGTCTACCTGGCCGTGTCTGAGGAGCTGGAGGGGGTGACGGGGCGGTACTATGATGTTATGACCGAAAAGGAACCAGCGCCCCAGGCCCTGGACGATGAGGCAGCTTGTAGGCTGTGGGAAGTCAGCAGCAGGCTGGTGGGTCTGGAGCACGAAGGACAGCCCAGCGTGTCAAACCCATCAGCGGAAGGCCAGAACAAAGCTGCACAGACAAACCCAGCGCAGACACTCGGGCAGAATGTAGGAGCAGCTGTCAGCACTGTAGGCCTATAGGTCCTCTGAGCCAGCAGGAAATAATGGACCTTTATCACTTGAGCTGTGCCAGACACAGGAACAATTCTCTGTCTCAGACTTTGAGTCTGAGTGTCTCTATAATAGCAGTCTTTTGTATGTTCATTTATGTTCCTGCCTCAGGATGTTCTCTCTTTTAAAGAGAATCTGTAACTTTGAAACACACTTACGGATTCAAAGTTACATCCAGTTTGTATTTCTGACTTTTCTCTGCTTGTTCTAGTGATAAAATGCAAGAAGTTTTAAAATAAAGTGCTACCATGTCATTATGAGCAAAAAAGTGAAAGAGGGTTTTCAACATACTCCTAAAAACCTACCATAAAACAAACATAATGTTGTTTTGTTTTTTATGTCAAAATCACACCAACGTCCTGCTTTCTGTGGAGTTGAAACCTTGCACATTAAAATACACACCAGCAGAGGCTGTGTATGGTATGCTTTCTTTCACAGAGCACAAAATCAAATCTCCTTTGGTTGAATCATGTCTGTAATTGGAGAAGAAAGCATTGTTATGCAGTCTTACTGGAGGGCTGGAGCTTTGAAACTTTTTTTGTGAATTCCGTCATGAAAAGTTGAAATAAAGCGCCACCTGCCTGCTTAAGATTAAAATACATGTGCCTAAAACCACATGAAACCCTATTTAAGAGTTTGTGGGGGTTTTTTATTCATACATGCAGATTTAGCAATAATTTCTTCAGCTGTACAGCTGTGTTAATTATTTTTCCTTCAAATTAATTTGGCTTAGAAAGCATTTTTTTTGTGCACTGAAACTATATATTAAAACAACTTTACAAACGTAACTGACGAATTTACACACTAACCTTAAATTGTTCCAATTTATTATTGGAAGTATTAGAAAATATCTAAAAATACAAAGTATGACACTAAAGTTAAATGCAGGATCGCTTATGTTATTGCACACTCTTATGAGTTCTGCTTCATCGTCCTCACAAAAACAAATCAAGTTACCAAAGAACTCACAGTGCAGGTCTGATCCTCTCAGACATGCAGCCTGAGTGCAAAGAAATACATCCATCCCTTAAGTATTTAGAGGATCCATTGCACAGGGTCCTCTCCAACAGTGTTTTCCAAAGTAAAGATCAATAGGGGGTGAGGGAGGAGGACACTGCACTAATGCACACTGATCAGCATCAGCCGTGAAACCGTAAACCCTCGATCGTTTAATTCGGTGTTGGTTTACAGATGGAGACCCTCGCTGGTGCCATCCTAGAAGCTGATGGCGATTGTAGACGAGCAGCAGAATAATAACAGGGGTTTCCTTTGCTGGGGAGGAGACTGCCTCCAGAGGATGGTGCCGTCTGAATCAAACCAGCTTTGACCTCTAAAGTTTAGGACTCACAGCACCTTTTGAATTTTAACTTTGCTTTATTTGTATATATATATATATATTCTCCCCCGCCCCCCCCCGTCTGCCGTTTTTAACGTGTTTCGACCGGGATGTATTCGTTGTCTTGAATGCACCCTTGTCGGACTTCATTGCCCACAATGCACCACTAAAGGACGAAAAGTAAATGTCCAAGGTACAAATCGTTCCTACCAGAAAAAAAGGTGCTAATGAGTGAACTATAAATGCAGATACGGGTGGGCCTGGTCGTGTGTTAGTGTTTCGTGTTCAGCACAGAGGCATTGGACTGTCAGCGCTACTAACCAGCTCGTCGTCTTCTTCAGGTAACACGACGAAGTGCTGCAAGTACACGGAGCCATACTGTTAATTAAAGGTGTTGGCAAAAACAACAACAATAGTAATAGTAAACTCTATTTTAAAGAGACGAACAGCTCACAGTACTCTGGAGCAGAGGTAGACCACTGCTTTGAGTGAGGCATGTTATTTTGCAAGTCCTCGGCTTGCCGTTTTTATTTTTTTATTTTTTTTAAATGACAGTATTTTATTAAAAACGTTTATTAGTGACTATAAATGAGAGCCTGCTTCACAATTTTCACTGTTCCGCTTTGGTAATGCAGTTTTCTTGTAGTATGACCTCTCACCTTGCCAGGAATTACGCAAACGTGTGTTTAAATATGCTGCTAACTAGCATTAAAGTCTCTGCACTCTGCAAGGATTTCAAAATAAGAGCGTCATACTGGATAAAACTTGTTTGAATACATGACAGTCCCAATTTAAAAAAAAATCGTATTGTTTGTTTTTATTTTGCATTTCTTTTCGCTATTTTTCTTACAGACAATCAACATGGCAGAGTCGAAAACAAAGGCAGAGCTGCTGCCTGAAGATGTTGACACGGATGACTGTCTGACTTCATACACTTACATCTACAGTCCGGATTTACTGAAGTAAGCATGAAAATAAACGTTTCCATCAGCACGTGTGATTTAGTCTCTTTCCTGACCGTTACATGGGGTGTACTGTATTTTACAGAGACCAGGTTGCTTTTATCACAGGTGGAGGATCTGGAATCGGTCTGCGCATAGCTGAAATCTTCATGAGGTGAGAAGATCTGCCTGCTCATCTCCGTAACAGCCAATCCTGTTGCAGTCAGTAAAATATCACATTGAACTCTAACAACATTTTAATTATTGATCTGTGCATGGTAATGTGCCGAGGTCTTGAGCAAACCCTCAATTTGTTATATTTTGCTTAGTTTAATCACAGTTCTCTGGGCTTTCTGAAGGTCTTTGAAAGGTTTTCTTTGGACATTGGCTCCTGTCTCACTCATTTTCAGTCCACTCCTTGCACCAGACCATTTTCTGAAGGATGTTTTTAAGTGTTTAAGCCACTTAACACTAACCAAAGGTGGTGATGTTTGTTTGTTTTTTGTTTTTTTTTTTTGCTTTAATGATTCAGACTAAAGCAATGAAAGTTGTTTATACAAAACATAAAAGAAGCAACTCTAAATTGCATCTTTAAGGATGAAGTTGTAGACAAAAACCCTGCCTACAGCAGATGAACGGTATCTAAAAATCCAGCAAAGAACTGACAAAGGACCAGAGAGATGACCCTTCATTTCATTCTTCTACTGTTTACTTTAGCCTGAGTTGAAGGTTCAGTGGTCTCAGTGAAAGGGTGACTTTCAAGAAACCATTTATAAGCAAGGGTAACTGGGTGAAAATGCCAAGGTATTCCTGATTACACAAGAACTAGACTGAAAATCAGGTGCATTTTCATAGCAAAATACACAGAAATGAGAGAGGGCTCAAGTGAAGCTCACACCATGATGAAGCTACATTTGCCTAACCTTGTGCTCTTCTACCCTTTGTTACCTTACTTTCCATCCTGCCTGCCTTATATCTACCTTCTTTATTTATGGGTTGATGATCTTTTCCGGTTCTGATCAGCACAATGCAGCATGTGTTCTCTCTGCAGTGTTATACATTTTCTCTGTCTTCCAGGCATGGCTGTGACACAGTGATTGCCAGCAGGAACTTAGACAAGCTCAATGAGGTTCCCTCTTCCTACTCTTTCCGCAATCATAGAAGATCATTATATAACACGAAGATGCCAGTGTTAATGAATATTTATCCCTAGGCTGCTAAAAAGCTGTCAGCTGTGTCAGGGCGGCGCTGTCTTCCACTGTGTATCGACGTGAGGCAGCCCGACAGCATCATGGCTGCTGTGGATGAGATCCTGAAAGAGTTTGGCCGTGTGGACATCCTTGTTAACAGTATGTGATGCCTCGTGCACAAAGACCAGCTTTATATATCTCATGCATCTTATGGAAAATACAAACAAAAAAAAGGCGGGGCACCCCGCCACAAACAATTCCTGACCTTTGCAATCCAACCACTGAAGGTCCAAATGATTTTTAAAGCCAAAATAAGTGCAAATGTACTCTGTTCAAAGGTCAAGTTTGAAAGGTTTTGGTTTAATCATCAACCTTCCTGATACTTCATCTTTTTATCTTGTATTTTTACCCTGTTGCATCACTGTAGCATGATTAAGTGTTAGATACAGGTCATCTGTGCAAACTGATCTTTATGTCAGCAATTAGTCACTGCAGAGTTCTTTGCCTTGGAGTTGTCATAATTACTGTGCTGGTTTCAATCACAGATGCTGCTGGGAACTTCCTCTGCCCTGCTACCGCACTCTCCTTCAATGCCTTCAAGACCGTTCTGGATATAGACACGTTGGGTACATTCAACACCAGCAAGGTGGTTTATGAGAAGTGGTTCAAGGTACGGCGCTCGTTCTGTTTGTGTGATGCAGTGTTTCTGAGCTGTGCTGAAAGAGCCACAAGTACAGTTGTTAATGCTTTATCTGCCACAACATCAAAGCCTTCAATAAGATTGTTTTCCTGCAATACATGCTAGTCACCAGAAGAGGGCAGTGCACATTAAATTACTTATTGCATTACGATTCACTCAGGATCATGGTGGCAGCATAGTCAACATCTCTGCAACGCTTGGATACAGAGGACAGGCCCTGCAGGTGCACGCTGGCTCTGCCAAAGCAGCAAATGGTGAAGTGTTTTTTTTTTTTTTTGTTTTTTTGTGTGTGTGTGTGTGGGTGGTGTGTGTGTGTGTGTGTGTGTTGTGTAGTGATATTAAAATGCAAATCTAATATCTCCATGCTGTCTTTCTTGTACCCAGATGCCATGACCAAGCACCTGGCTGTGGAGTGGGGGCCCAGTGGAGTGAGAGTCAATGCTGTGGCTCCAGGTCCCATCTCTGGGACAGAGGGCTACCGCAGGCTGGGTAAACACTGAGCTTAAATAATGATCCGTCAGTTTAAGGGATCTGTATTTGATCTTATAAAGTCTAAAACAACTTCAGGCAAAGCATTGATACTGTTGCCACTGTGCAGGCTTCTGCTGGAAACGAGCATTTATTCCTGATTTTGTCAATTTTCCAATATAGAAAGCTTTTGTACAAAGCCACTCTTTGGGATGAGCTGCCTCTGCAGTGTTAAATCTACAGCATTGATTCTCATGGGTACTTCAGATTAAAAGCCCTGAAGAATTTCATTTGGCTAGAAACACTCTGTGAATCACGTGCACCAGCATGATAAATTTAATTTTTGGTTAAGGGAGTATGATGTTTATTATGGTGTGATGCTATGTTTGCTGTATCCAGTTAAAGGAATTCTAGGAAGTGTCAGAAATTGCCAATTAGGTAAAGCATGTTCAGGCACATTTTTATAACACATTTTATCTTAGAATTCTTTAAAGAAATCACTACCTCACGATGATGATGATATCAATCTTTACAAAATTATTTAAAAGCATGAGCTCTTGAAGTCACCTAAGGGCTGTTGGGTCAAAAATACTGTAATCATGGTGTATACGTGTAGCTTACATCATCTGAGGATGCTCGTTTCTTCTTAAAACTTTCAGGTGGTCTTAGAGTGGAAGCTGCTGGTGCTTTCCAGTCCATTCCTTTGCAGCGAGCTGGCAACAAGACAGAAATGGCCCACTGCGCTCTCTTCCTGGCCAGCCGGGCGTCGTCTTACACGACTGGAGCCATCCTGGTGGCGGATGGTGGGGCCTGGCTGACCTCAGCCAACGATGTCTCCATGCTGTTGGGTATAGCTTCCTCTAAATCTGCTAGACTCTGAACGGGGCTCTCCTTTCCTCCTCCTGACGCCTCCCTCCCCAGGTGTGTGGGAGGAGGTGAAGAGAGAGTACAACTAGGAATGTGATTGTGCTGTTTTATGTTGCAGGAATGCAGTGAAACCTGTAATAATTGATGTGTATGTTATTGTCTTTCAGGTTATTGGTCAGCTGAACACAAAAGAGACAAGTAATTGCTGAAACAAAGAAATATTGCAGCCATCTGTAGTACTGAAATGCCACGTGTACAGTATTTGTAGTTCATGTAATCTACTGGTGCCTTAAGTCAGTATTGAGACTCATGGAGTTGAACACTAATGTACTATATTTGCTGTACTATAGTAGTTTACAGTCTTAGAAATTAAAGAAATACTTTATTACAAATAACCAACTTTGTTTCTCTCCATTCCACTGCTGTAAGTGTGCATTTAATGAAATCATGTTAAATAAAATATTTACCTAATATCTAAGGGTGCTGTTTGTATTTGTGGTCAAAAATCAGGTAACTGTTTCACTCTGTCAGATTGTGCCTGCAGCATGGAGCAAACTTTTAATTTTAAGTTACAACTGTTTAAGTTTGGGTCTTCGTGGCTGATTCAAGGGGGGGGAAACTATGCTCATACAATGATTTTTATTTTTTAAAGTCTTACATGGCTCTAAAGGCTTATCCAACAGGTGCCCAACGCAAGAGTGAACACAAGGTCAGTAGGTGGGGAAAGAGTTTCTGAAGCACTCTGTTTAGTAAGATTTTTTATTTATTATTAATTATTATTGCTGGAGCAATTCTGCAAGTAAAACTGACCAATGTGTAGTGACTTAAAGTCTTCATCAAGGCCTGACAAATGCACCATACCAGCTCTGGGACGTTATTAGTGTGTGTGCGTGAATGTATATTTCATACACAAATTTAACAACCAGTTTGACAGGGATTCACAGTACCGCTGCGAGTCAGATGTGGGCGCCAAAACATTACTTTACATCCAATAAACAATTCTCCACAATCGTTTGTAATTTATTAACATAATTATATGGGTTAATATGTTATATGAGGAATATTTGTTTTACCAGACAACCGTGCAGCCTGCTGACTCTCGCTGATCACGGCACTCTGATCTCTGTATAATGTGGAAGCTCCTCTGCTGAACCTTAACTTTGACCTCTGTGTAAATAAACATGAGTGCGGACCAGTGTTTTGAAAATTGTCTGTGGGCTTTCCAAGCAACGAGAAGACAGATAAATAAATCCCAGTTGGTGGCTGCTCATGATGCCAGTGATACTGCGGGGTGTTTAGTACGCGTGCGTGAAACGTCAGTGGTGTGTATGCGGCTGGAGGAGGAGGATGGGACACTGCTGATGCTGATGCGAGAGCTTTCGGCGTCTGTAATCAACATCGGTGGCCTGACTGCCAAAACGATGGAGTTTCTTGGCCTCATTTGACACCCTGTTGGTTTCACTGTGGTCATCAGCGGGGGACGCTAGCGCAGGTGTGCTTTTGAGGACAGCGGAGGGATTTGATGAGGGAAAGAAAACGGTTTCGTCTCGTCACTCGTCTGGCCTGGCTTCTGAGGGACACAGGTGGACCGCCGCTGGAAAACGGCATCAAAATTAGGCAGTGATATTTTACTGCGAAGAGGACGATACTTCACGTAATTACCCTTTGAACCCCGAAGCTAGCATTTTGGTATTGTTTTATCAAGAGAGGACGAAAGTTAAGCTTGAGGGGTTTTTTTGGTATGTTAGCCAGCTAATAGGCTAATTTCGTTAGCAAGCCTGTTAGCAGCTTCCCCGACCAATGGCACGGGAGAAGTGGGATGCTCGAAGGAGGAGTTAACGGTAGTTGCTGGCTTAAATTCATTCGAAGGAAAGACGGTCGGTGACACATGTGGGAAGCCGCTTTGCAACAACAGATTTGGCGTTAACGTTTTACAGCTTGGTGTTAATTCAGCTTCGAGTAACGCTGCTTACGTCGCTTCCCTCCGAGGCGATTGATAAGATTAGATAATCGGCTAATAAGGCTAATGTTGACAAACACTTTTGACCTAACACGTTAATTCGTAACTCTAGTGTTTCATATCACCTCGCTGTCAGAGATGCTGTAAAGTCGTGTGCTTGTCGGTTCAGTTTTGAGACGTTATTGAGCAACTTTCAGGCCGCAAGTGAAGCATGCTGAAGCTGGAACATCTGACAACTACCAGGAGCGGACCTGTCATGGCAGAAAGGGATATAGTGAGTCCAGACGCATTTCCATCAGCACCATATTCAGTATGGCCAGGAAATCAGTATGATTTCTAGATTTAGGTAATGCTGTTCTCGAGATGTGGGGGGCAACCACTGAATTAAAAGTCAGAAATAGAGTCTTAGGCGTTTTTTCTAAGCCTGCATATCTTCTTAGAACTATTGTAGTTTGTACTTCGTAAAATCACAATATCTGATAGCATCTTTTAAATAATAGAGGTGGAGAGCGCTTGTGGGGGCTCTCCACACTTGACTCACAATTTCACTAGAGATGTGCTGTGCCATATAGAAGCATGGCATTAAAATTGAAGGATTGGATCTTGACAGTAGTGAGATAAAAATAAATAGATACAAATCAGCAGCTTTCATAGGTTTCCAAAGGTGAACAGCCAGCATAAATGGAGCCGACAGTTGTGTCTGGCCCTTTGGGGCACACGCAGTGGGAGCCAGAGCAGCCATTTCCTCTTGGATTTGAGACACTGGATTCAGACAATGCAGGTGTGCCCTGTCAAAACAAGAGTGAACAGACGGGTTTGGACTTCAGGAATGGCGACCAGAACAACATATCCCAACAGACTCAGAAGGAAAAGGATTTAGTGGACAACCACCTGAATGTCTCAAATCTTTCTTTTGGAGATTTGCAGTTTGAGGGAGATCACACCACTATCTCCCAAACTTTTCTCCACAGTACTCACATTAAGGATTTGTCTTGCACAGAAAAAACAGAGGGACTTGATGAAATTAGTGACTGCACATTGTCCTGGCTATTTTCTCCCAACTTCGCTGATGTGATTGGAAAAAACTCTGCTCAAAAGGAGCTGACTCTTAAACGGGATTCCCCTCTGGAGGACTTAGAAGTCCTCAGTAGTCGGGTTGCGCTAATAACCCTCAGCGTGCCATCATCTCCAGTGAAGACCGATACAGGGGATCCATTTTTGCTAGTAGATCTCTCCAATGAACATCCTGCTCCCAACTCAGAGTCTTCAGGCGAGTTAAACCCACAGGGTGTCAGTGAGGAGCTGGTAAAGGTGCCATGTAAGGAGCAGGTCGACCTCCCTCCCTTACAGAGCAGGGAGACTTTGTCACCTGAAATTGGAGACAAAGGTTTATTCCCTGATCAAGTGACTGATCTGCCTGTAACCAGTAGCGCTACCCTACAAGGTTTACCTGAGAACTGCCTCCTTCATAACACACACAGCACACCGCTGGAGTGTTTTGAAGGATCTGTGCCTTTGTTGGATTTAGACGTTCCAGATTTTGACAGCAGCCTAAGCCTGTGGCCTGCCAGTGCTGCCTCTGTTATCTACACAGGAACTCCATTAGATGTATCATCAGAGGAGTCAGAAGTGGTACATGAAGAAGCTGCTGTTATTAGGAATCTTACTTTAGAGCAACAAGGTGAGAACGACCTGCTTGCTCTGGGTTTATTAAACGAACCTTCATCACTGACACTGCCTCTGGTTGAAGATGCCCTCATCCAGGGTGATCTCAGCAGTCAGAGTTCCTCTGTGGAAAACACGCCTAAGGATTTGATGGAAGACAACATCTGTTCTGAAGTCAAAAATCAGGGAAATGAGGCAATGGCTTTGGATCCGTGCTTGACTGTTGAAGAGGTCCACGATGACGAATCTTGGGACTTGAAACCCCAGGAGGGAGTGCGGAATGAAAACAGTCCAGCAGCTGAGGAGAGGCCGGCCGACACTACACAGCTCCAGGGTTCAGGCTGTGATGAAGTGGCCTCTTTTGATTTTTCAGTTCAGGATTTAAATACAACTTCTTCTGAGCCTGAGTGGACTAGTGAGCAGGCCGTGGAGACAGTCTCCCTCTCCAACATGGTGGTAGATGACTCACTGCCGATGGTCTCAGCTGTGAGTGCAGGGGAGGAAGAAGTCTCCCCTCTGAAAGCTGTGTTCGATGCTTTAGACCAAGATGGTGATGGCTTCGTCCGCATTGAGGAGTTCATGGAGTTCGCCACTGCCTATGGGGCCGATCAGGTGAGAAGCTTGGTTTTTGTTTTTTTTTAGGTTTTTAAAAAAAAATTATTATTTTTTTAGTCTTGCCATTTTTGAGCAGGCAGCTTCTTTGTACCGTATGTTGGGTAAGATTCAGTGTAACACAATAAACTGCTCCATATGTGTAAAATCTTTAGTATTGATTTTTAGCAGGAACTTGGAGTGCTTCCTGTAAAACACTGGTAATTAAATAAACTAAAATCCATCTACGTCTCATGTCTGTGTTTTAGAATGTGTATGATCCAGATTTATTTCAGATAAAACAAGTCAACTGTCAAAATGTGGTCATTTATCTGATAGGTTTTTGGGTGAATGTTTAAAGCCTTCATACAGACATGAAAGCTGGCTCAGGTGATGTTACAGTGTCACGTAATGGAGTGGTAACTTAACCCCTGCTGAGGTGCTGGTATGTTTCTCTGCAGTTTCCAATGCTTAGTGTAACAGACAATACTGAAAGTGCAACTTATTATGAAAACCATGCCTGGATTAGTTTGTCATCTATCTTCAGTGAGTGTTGAAAGGCCAGGACTTGTTTTTCTCTCTGATAAATCTGTTAAACATGCTGTCTGTAATGAGTTATGTCAGGCCTGAAACTCCATATGTCAAATGACAGAATGCTCACTTCTTCATTTGTACACTCTGTGGCTAGGGGATTACCCCTTGTGGTATAGCTGCTGTGTGTCTCTGTACCCATTAGCCTCACTGGTTTGATGTTATCTTCCCCTTTACATCAGGTATTCAGTTTTATTTCCACAAAAATAGGCCTGTCTGTCAGGGGTACCTAAGTGAGTATACATTAATATTAGAATTTTAACATGATCTTCTTTAGCAGTTTTTGATATGTATATATCAGCATGAAACTAGCCAGCTCAAAAGATGTAGGTCAAAAAATTTGGGCAATAAGTTAATTTCCGCTACTTTAACCAGCTTGTTTTTAACACTGTGAACCTTTGGTACACACACACACACACACACACACACACACACACACACACACACACAAAACGTAATGCGTGCTCACTAATGCTTTTTAATCTCTTCTTTCTCAGTTCAAAGCACCTCTATTGCTGCTGCTCTGTCCCGTGTCTAGCCATAGGCATCTGCAGCTCTCCAGGCAGGGAATTGTGAAGGATTAAGAATTAAATGTATTTTCCTGAGTCGGAGGGACTTCGTGCTTTGCGTGCAGTTCACCAGCTGCCGATGACCTTGTTTCGAGTGACACAGGAGCACAACGTCTCATGTTTGGTGTAATTAAAAGAAGTTGCACCTGCTGATTGAGAGAGTGCTAAAGTTGACACATCTATGACACTGAGAGTTTTTTTTGTTTTTTTTCCCAGAGGTGTGGTCTGTTTGACTGTTATTTCCTGCCAAAAGGTGCTATCCAGATTGTGCAGATGGCTTACTTGTTTGTTTGTTTGTTTTTCATTGTGTTAGCTATCCACTATCTGGTTTGCAAGAGCTCCATGAGCTAAATGTGCCCTCAGAGGAGGCTCCTCTCAGATTTCTGTCCTTTCCTGAGACCAAGGAGACAAACGTTTAGGCGCGCTTGTTATTTCTAACCTTATTTTTTTCATTTGCAGTTGTCGAGCAGTCAGCAGACAGACTTATCTATAGAATTTGTGGAATGTTTTAAGCATGTTACCTTTAGGTGAGTTCATCATTCAGTAGCTCACACAAGGATCTGTAGAAAAGTCAGCTCTGCTTCAACAGGGCAAACATATTCGCTTTATAATTGTTTCTTTGCTGAGTGTTGAAAGTGTTTTTCTCCTCCCATATCAGTGCGAACCACATATAAATGTGCTTTTGATATTTGACTAAGCCTTTCCCTGATATGTCATTGTATTTCAGCTATCTGGAGATAAAAGCAGTTTGAATAAGCTCTATGCCTGACCGAGTCCAAATGGGGAAATTATGACCTGGGCCTTGGTGGTAACACAAGTGTTTAAATATGTTGGTTCAAAAACCACAAGGCAAAAAGTAATACAGATCCATAAAAAAATGCCCATTGAGAATTTATGATAAGCTCATCATGTCATGTTTGTTATGTCATAGTTTAGCTGGCAGCTAGGACTGTAACTTGGGTTTCTCTTTGCAAATACCCCCGACACCTGATAAACACCAGGAAGGTATTCATAAGACATTTGCATGAATGTTCAGATGGCGTTCGTATGCTAAGCATGCAAATGTTTCCTCTAGAATTATTCCAGGATGTGATACCGACTAGAACCGCACACAAATGTAGTGTATTGCGAATAACATGGCAGGGAAACACTGAGCACCAAATGTCTCTCTGCAGTAGTGAATCCACTCTATGAAACCTTTTTGACTATTTAAAAAAATTTAAAATAAATGTCCTGTCTGGCAGGTCTTAGAAAAGACTTTCTAACTCCCACTCACTCTCTGGTTTTGACCCTGATTCTGCACAAAAGCCACACTGAACTTCATTGAGTTTGGGACTCTCTTCTGAGTCGACATCACCAAACCTACTTTGGTCAGCCTCCCTCCCATCACCCACTGCTGTTATGCACCACCCCTCTAATCCTCAGTGGAATGCCCCAAGCCCTGAAACATCCCCTCTCTTTAGTTCCCTTTTGTTTTCATCTGTGTTTTATTTACAAAGACTACTTATTTATTTTCATCCGAACCTGCCAAACTTATGATTATGGCTATCAAAGTTTCGTTTGGCAACTGACTATTGTGAAATGCCCTTTAGGAAACACTCTCACCAAAGGGTATTCTTCTCATCGGGGTTATGCACAAAAGTGGTCTGTGTGGAGGCGGTCAGGCGTGCCCCGGCACTGATTAGACACAAATGGAGGAAAGAGAAAAACCACAGTGCTTTGCTCCGCTGAGCAGTGGAACCGTTGAGCTGCATCTGACTTTTTATCTCAGTCTTTCCTCTAGGTCTCAGGGCTGTACATCTGTCTAAAAAGAGACACTGTAAAAGCTAAAAATACAAGTTACCTTTTAGAAATGGAAGAAAGGATTAACACAGACACAAAGAAACATGAAAAGTGCTTAAATCTATTTAATATAAAATCTTTCTGGAAATCAAGTGTTTAAAGAAATTATTTAATACAAAATCTCTGAAAAGTAGATTTATCAAGTTGTATGAAATACTTGTTCCATGTAAATAAACTATGTTATTGTTTAATATGTTATTGTATCAGGCTTAAAATAGAAAAACAGGTCATATAGAGAACAGTCAAAACAAGGACAATGATAAAAGTTATGTGAGTCTTAGAAGAGGATAATCTGATTTCTTTGCCCGGTTAATAGGTTGATGCAAAAATGAAATCACATTCACCTTTCAGTTTTTAGGTTAGACCTAGGAATAGCCAGCAGGCTCCACTAACAAGACCTGAGGGGCCTGGCACTGCTGTACAGACGTAACAGCTGAAATGTAGGCCATGGACACTTTCCACAGGATAGTAGCTTAAAACTGATCTGGGAGCTTTGGCACTGGAGGTTTTTACAGTAGCGTATCCTACTCGGCTCAGTGGTGCATTTTTTTTTCTTTTTCTAATGCCACAGAAACGATACCCAAAAGCTGTTCTTTGCTTTTTATATCAGACGTGCAAAAAAAACGTCACTGAAACCACTGATGCTCGTTAACTCCCCGCTCACACCTCAGTTTTCTCGCCTTGCCCAGAAAGAGGTGTTTGTGAAGAGCTGCGTGGAATAAAAGTGTTTCCTCTGAGCTGTGATGTTCTGTGATGTTGGGATGTGGAAAAAGCTTCAGTAAAACACCTTACGCTGACCTAAAGCACACTTTGTTTTTCTTCTTCCGTGGACTTGCATACATGAAATCACTTGCTGTTTTGTGGTTGTGTTTTGAAGCCCCAGTTTTTACACTACACCTGTCACCGTCTTGGTTTTGTTTGGTTAGAAGTGTTCGAGAGTGTGTAGAGTGTCAATTTATCAGGTGATTCAGATAACTTCTAATTTAAGCCCGATAGCATGCAAATAAAATGCTAGAATTTCTACCATCAAAGGAGTAT